CTCTGCACAGAGCATCTACCTCACAGACAGACACTGCCCCTGCCTGCAAGGGGTCCCAGCTTTTACCCCTCAGTGGGACACCTGACCCTTGGTTACTTCATGCAGGACCCCTGGGGCTCCTTTACCCAATGGCTCTCCCTGCCAGGCAGCCCCACCCTGGAGGGAAGCCTAAAGGCAAACTCACCCCCCTTTGGGAAGGGCTGTGGGAATCACCCACATGTCAACCTGAAACCCCAGCATTTCAACTGTTACATTGCTTAATACATTTTGAAGCATCATACATAAAATAAATGAATACAACTCAATCAGTGCTTTGTCCATTAACTCCATTCACTGCAACAGGAGTTCATGTTTTAAAATGCTAAACAGCCTAGTGATTCTGCAACATTTCTGCAACAAAGACCAGTATCTTAGAACTGATAACAGCCCTCTGACAAAAAAATTGATGAGGTAAAGAAGAAAATAAACTGAGGTTTTGATTCTGATTAAGTGTTAATAAAATGAAATAAAAATGTACTAGAAAGCATGCCAGTGTGACTAAGCACCAGAGTGGAGTATAAATGAATCGGCTGTATGCTTTTGGATCTGCACCTCAAAGAGCTGACGGTAATAGGAGAGGGGAAATCTGATTTTCTCTGTATGAAAATTTGAGTTCAATCCTAACTCCACCCCACAGTGAAATTCTGATCAGGCAAGATGGACAGTTATCGCTAAGGGTCTGCACTTGCATAGTACAAAGAAGGAAAAATGAGGAAATGTATGGAACTAACAGCATATACATAAAAATATAATTAATGAATAATATATACAACAGTTTTCAAACCACAATTATAAAATAGTCTATTTGCCATTTTAATTTAGTAAATTATTTATAGGTTTCCATATGCTAAGGAATAATCCTAGTTTATTATGTTTTGACATAACTCCCTTTTAAATAAATTTGGAAATCATGAGAGCAGAATGTACATAATGATTGACATCAACCATAATTCACATCAGTCTTTCCAGCAGTGGAGAAAGAGAAGAATGCTAATACAGCTGTTATCTCCAAGTTCTGGGGAGTAGGTTTGTTACTCTTTTCTCTAATATTAGAAGCCTTAATAGTTAGTGAAGATGAACTCTTGTCAGTTAGGTTTTTAGCAATATTTCACATGTAGCCTCTTACTGAAAACAAGGAAGCTTGTGTGTGTTCTGGAGACAGAATTAGTCCCACGCAGCAGTGCTAGTTCACTGACAACCCACAAATGCTTGAGAAAGCGATCCCTTGTCATTACAACTTTTTTTATTGCACAGTACTTTGAAAAATTATAAACAAATGAACACGAGTTTGTGTGTGAGGATAAGATTTCATACAGTTGTTTCCTGTGTTACTGACACACAACTAAGGAACAAGAATATTTATATCTATCAGCTCTCAAGAATTGCCCCAATTGGAGGGCCATATTGTTATTAACTCATTCATTTCTGTTATAAAAGCATTTTGGTTTGTGAAGTTATTTTAGAAGCAGAATTGGTTCTTGACAATGGAAGCTTGGCAAAAGAAAGACAGAACATGCCCCCAGTTCTCTCAAAAGACAGTGAAAAAGGAGATTGCCTAACAAAAGGCTAGAACCTCACAGATCAGAATGGTTCCTCTTCTGATCAAAACCCAGAATAATTTCTGGGACATTTCCAGTAAGTGGAGCTCACTAAAACTAATCTGGTTTAGTGCTTATGTACACATAATTCCTCTTGCCGCAGTTCCAGCACACTTGCACTATCTACATCAGAAATAACAGAATTCTTGTCTTTGTAGCAAATATTTACACTTTTATCATGTTTCCTTTAAGTCTTCTCTAAAGACAGTTATTTTAGTTGTAGTCTGAAAGTGTCCGCATTTTTAAGTTCTGATCATTCTAGTTGCTTCTCAGCTGACACATCTTTCCTTTTGGTCTTTTGAACACCATGCACAGTTTTCCAGTTAAGCCCTTACCAATGCTAAGTAGAACAGAATGATTATTTCATCTCTCCTATGAAAGAAAGATACTTTTATTTACATATTCTAGTATAGTGCTAGTATTTTCCAAAGTTGTTTGAACATTACTTGCTCACATATTTTGACCTGAATTAGTGGAAAACCTGCTTTCGTTCTAAACTGTTAGAATACCTGAAAGCCTCAGATTTATGGTAAAAAGAAAAAAATCTCCTTTTAATTTGTTTTGTAGAAGAACTTTCTGAAAGTCTTCAAAACAATCTACTTGCAGAAATGCATTCCTTTAACCTTTTGGGGGGATTTATATTTCCTTACATATTTGCAATATGGCTTTCACATGAGAACTGCCACTAGAGAAGGATATCCAGATTAAGAACCTTCCTACCTTTCTTTCATAGATTCAGACTAGTGTATCAACCCTGTAGAGCATCACAGGAAATCAAAGACAGCAGGGTTGAAAAGATTCATTAGGTTTTCTAGTCCAACGTTATTCTAACGAAATATTAAAATGAATCTACAGTGACTGGTCAGTGAGTATGTTTGTGATAAGCAGTATGGGTAAAGTAAGGTTCCTTTCCCTCAGGAGGGTAGAGGTATGCATTAGTTTGGTAGTTTCCCCTTTAATAGCCTTCACAAAACTTAAAGGAACATATTTTGGAGTTTGGAGCTTTGACCCTTGTCTCAGATTTGGCTGAAACTAGCCAAAAAGATTCAATTTCAGTAGAGGAGGAGGTCAGGCCAGTAACCATATGACACAACTGCGTTAAACTTTGCTTTCTAAGAAATCTAACTATAAAGAGACCAGACGTTCTGGCAAAGTTGCCTACTTTGGAACCTTAGGCAAGCACACAAAACACCATGAGACAGAAAAAGACTGGATAAGCTCAAAACAATTATTTTAAATTTGTGAAGTGTTTTAAGTTCTCCCTGAGGATTTTTTAGGTCAGTAGGAGCTGAACAAACCCTACAAGACCCACAAACGATGCAGGAACTTGTATCAAAAACATCACTAAGAAGCCAGCTCTCAGCTTGATATTCTTAGGGAAGTAAATAAAACCAAGAAACCAAGCCAGTGCTTGGCCTTCAATGAACCAAAGTACAGGGAGAATTAAAAAACTATTTCTGAACTTTAAAAAAAATGTTGTGCTTATTCATTAATGATGTAAAATGTTTTCTGTCATTTTGGATATATTAATTACACATAAATTACCATCATATTTAAGGGTCATTTGGATGAGCTGTAGGGGGATGTGGGGTAGGGGAGAACTTTGTAGAGTCGGGCTGAGGGTTGGACTCGATCCCAAGGGGCTTTTCCAACCTGAATGATTCCGTGATATTTATTTCTAGTATTCATGCATTTGTGTTGTCTACTTTTCTGGAAATGGTGGAAACATTTGGGTTTGTGTCCCTTATATATTTGGGAAAAGTATTTATAATTACATACTTGTTTTTATTATTCAGTATGACTGAGCTTGTTAGCTTCTAATCGACCTGCTTCTTGTGCCATCTTGCCAAGAATGGGTTAGGTACTGAAAGGGAATAAAAGGGCTCAAACAAATGAATTTCTGACAGTTATGAAGACTAAACTGTGATGTATGAAAGCTTTGCTTGTGCTTTGCTTCATTTGTTTCAAAGATTTGCTTGTGTTTTGCTTCCTTTGTTTCAAGAACTCCTGACTCCTCAACTGTTTCCTTAGGTCCCTTTGTCTGTTTAGGTAAGATTGAAACACTCGTTAGGCTCCATACGTAAATCACTGATAGCAGACTCAAGGCCTTCAGTGGATGCTCAGACTACTCCTAGAATGGGAAAACTAAGAAAGGAGGGGCTTGAACACAGGGACACGGAGACCCTGTTATAGGGAGGATGATTCTGCTGATATAGGAAGGAGGCACCTGGACTTTACTGCACAGCACATGCTCTGGAAAGAAGGTCAACTAACAAACACTGTGAAGAAGACTGCTTACTTCTTCCCCCGACCACTGAAGACCATCACCCTATTTTTAGTACAGATGCTCGGACTATGTAAATGAATTCTAGGAACTCAGTACCGTAATACACCCCTTTCCAGGAAATCTAATGAATATGTACAATTTGCGTGTGCGTAAACTGGTGTCCCTTGCTCATTCTTGGCAGCCCTTATGGTGGAGAATCCCCAGGGTGACCCCGATGCTGCTAATAAAGAATTCCTGCTGAACAGGAAAAAAGTTTACTGTTTACTGTCTTTGTTTCAGTACAAACAACAAAGGTGAATGGAATAGGCATCTTAATACTGATTTGGCAATACATGAAAAAATGTAGTATTTCAGCTCGAATCGGTATAGGAAGAACTGTTCCCTGGTGCCTGTACCTTCAGCTCTGCCGTCAGAAAGGCTGGGCTCAGAAAGAGTCCTGGTGGAAGTGCACCGCCCACACAACGAACGGCGTGCACCTCGGTGAGGGGCTTCAGTTTTGGGCCCCTCACCCCAAAAAGGCCATTGAATGACTCGAGCGTGGCCAGAGAAGGGCAACGGAGCTGGTGCAGGGTCTGGAGCACAGGTCTGCTGGGGAGCGGCTGGGGGAACTGGGGGGTTCAGTCTGGAGAAGAGGAGGCTGAGGGGAGACCTCCTGGCCCTCTGCAGCTCCCTGCCAGGAGGGTGCAGAGAGGGAGGATGAGTCTCTGGAGCCAAGGAGCCAGCGCCAGGCCCCGAGGGAATGGCCTCAAGCTGCCCAGGGCAGGGTCAGGCTGGCTCTGAGGAAGGATTTCTTTGCAGAAGGGGCTGTTGGGCGTTGGAATGGGCTGCCCAGGGCAGGAGGGAGTCCCCGGGATCCCTGGAGGGGTTGAAGAGTCGGGTTGACCCAGCGCTGAGGGATCTGGGGGAGTTGGGAACGGTCAGGGGGAGGGTCATGGTCGGGCTGGAGGAGCTCCAAGGGCTTTCCCAGGCCGGCCGGCTCTGTGAGCCCGCGGCGCGCTCCCGGCCGCACAAGGACCGCTC